TCCAACGCCAAGCATACGAGAGGACCACAATCTCCTCTGGCTCCGCTCGTTTGTTGTGGCGCGGTATCGTCTCTAATAACTGTAATATTGAGCTTCTTTGGCTTCTTGTTTCCAGAACGAGTCCAATAATTGATCGCATCCAAGAATTTAGCCAAATGAGAGCTCCATCCCTTAATAACATCTCTTAAATCAACCAATGATATGTAATTTATCATGCTGTCATACACTATTGTCTTAAGGGATGGGAGCTGAAGCTCGACGAGAATCCAAGGTTTACGTTCCAAAACAGGGATAAACACCTGCAATCATAAGTAATAATTCATTCATTTGCGCACTTATTTCATAAAACCTTTAAACTCAATCTAAAATAAATACTAACCTTATCGACCTCCCACCATGCAGGATAAAGTTTAGCTTGTCCATTGCCCAAATCAAATGATTCATCTCGTGCATTCTTCAAGTGAACGGCGTTAAAAGACGTCGGCATAATTGTATATCGTATATTTTTATTTTTCTTAAGTTTTCTTATTATTAGAAGACGTGTCACCCACGCATCGATATGCTGTTTTACAAAAAAAGACATATATTAGTGACTTACATAAATTTTAAAAAAAATTAATCAAATTGAAATATAAGAAAAATATAAGACTTACCCCCCCATCGAAATAGCCATTGTCTTCGACCCCTAATAATACGCCCCACCAAGACTGATCAAGCAACAAATAGATATCATCGGTGAGCTTGCATATGTCAGTGAAACACCCCTGGCTCCGCTCATGTAGATAAAAATCAACAGCGGTCTTAGCCCAAAGGGTGTTATCCAGAATTGTGTCCGGTAGTTGTTCCCTCTCCTCTTCAGATACCGGTATGGTACTGGCCGGTAACTCATACGAGAGCCAACTTGAATCCATCATGTCCGGCACGTCAGAGGGTTTCTCAAGAAGCCTACATATGACGCCATGTGAATCGGGCTCTTGAATGGTGGGAGGGACCTCTTCAATGATGACAGTGGCCTCTTGAACGGTGGGAGGGGACTCTCGAGGAATGATAGGGGGGCCTCTTCAACGATAGGAGTGGACTCTTGAGGGATGACAGGCGAGTCGGGCTTCTTCTTGCGGTGTCTTCGCACTATTGGGGTGTACGGAGACTTAATAGCACGTGCACGCTGTCTGATGCGTGAACTCCGTCGTGCAAGCATAACCCGACGTAAAGCATCCACTCTATCGAGCCGCTAAATAATTAAATACAAAAATCAGTAAATAAACAGACATGATATTTAAACAGTGAAAACAAAGACAAATATGTTTCAAACTTGCATTGTATTCACCCAAGTCATTATTCTATCATAGTTCACAAAATGCATCAGATAACAAAGAAAAATATGTTTCAAACTAATACCCTGAAGTTAGTATTTGTCTTTGTTTTGTCTATTGGTTGAAGTAATGCAATCCATTCAAGTTTCAATTTGCAGAAGAAGAAATAGTTTACTTTCGCAACACGAAACTTAAAATCGCAACGCGAAATGATAATCGCAACGAGAAACCAAAATCGCAACGCGAAACCAAAATCGCAACGCGAAATGAAAATCGCAACGACAGAATCGCAATGCGAAATGAAAATCGCAACGAAAGAATCGCAACGCGAAATGAAAATCGCAATGCGATTTTGGTTTCGCGTTGCGATCTTGTCGTTGCGATTTTGGTTTCGCGTTGCGATTCTGTCGTTGCGATTTTCATTTCGCGTTGCGATTTTGGTTTCGCGTTGCGATTTTAAGTTTCGTGTTGCGAAAGTAACCTATTTCTTCTTCTGCAAATTGAAACTTGAATGGATTGCATTACTTCAACCAAAAGACAAAACAAAGACAAATACTATTTCACAGTGTTAAAGAATACACAGTTTAGCAGAATTGGCAGCAACCGAACAAATTTACTTTCAACCAAAAGACAAAACAAAGACAAATACTATTTCACAGTGTTAAAGAATACACAGTTTAGCAGAATTGGCAGCAACCGAACAAATTTACTTTCAACCAAAAGACAAAACAAAGACAAATACTATTTCACAGTGTTAAAGAATACACAGTTTAGCAGAATTGGCAGCAACCGAATAAATTTACTAAGCAATCTAAGTGAAATGGCTAATCTAAGTGAAATTACGAGTAAATTTATTATTAAGTTAAATATGGAAAATCTTAAACTTACCTCGTTGCGTAGAGTATGAACCTCATTCTGCAACGATACTATCATCTCACGTAGAGCGGCAACCTCACCACGTAAAGTTGACACCTCCACACGCCATGCACCATCGTTATCGCGTAGAGTACCGATCTCCTCACGCAAGGCATTGACCTCATCACGTAACTCCCTTGACTCATCCCGTGGAGGTGGAGGTGGAGGTGGAGAACAGGGAGATAGGAGTCGTGGCATCTTTGCCGGTCGCCTATCATGAGGTGATGGTGGAGAAGAGGCTCGATGATGTGACGGGATAGGTGATGGCTCTCGTTCTAGAGGTGTATAGTCGGGTCGATCGGGTGATGGCTCTAGGTGAGGTGATGGCTCTCGAATTGGAGGAAGTGGATGCTGCTCATCATCCGTGCCATCAAAAAAACTCTGACTAGCTTGCCACCAATCAGTGGCAAGCTCTTCCTCCGTGGGTGTCAGTCTTTGTAATGGAATGTTGGCCTCCTAAAATATAAAAACTCAAACAAAGTTAAACGTCTACTATTAATAACTTGTTTATATTATATGAAAGTATTTGTGTTAACTTACATTATTTATTGTCGCATATGGTATTAAGTCTTCCCAATCCAACAGAGTTTTCCTCTTCCAGGAAATAGCCCTGGGAATATCATTTGACGTTTTTATTGCATATGTACGCATGCTGGGGAAAGCCTCGAATATCCAAATCTACAAACAATATAATAACAAAATTAGTAATTGTTAAATAATTAATTATAATTTTAGAAACATTATATAGAAATTCTTACCTTAAAGGCCCAAACAAAGCCTGAAAAAGTGTATTTCGACCCATCGCCACGCAAACTTTTGCGGTCATCAAAGGCAGTAGACAACTTAGTCCAGGTAGCTTTCCATATATACGAACCCCACGGAAACAGATTCCATGCATTCAGGTCCTCTACCAATATTATTAGCTCCCGAGGAATAGGTTGTCTGGCCTCTCTGCCTAAAAAGCCGGCATACACAAGTAGTAGAAGGCATACTCGGACAACATCGACGTCATCCATCCGAGTGAAACCAGCTTTCTTATTAAACAATTTCTTCAGGTCGTCGACGTGTAGGTTCGGCTTCTCCATTGACTCATCCTGAAAAACCCGGGATAACCATGATGGGCGGGCGATATGACGAGTGTACCGGCCTACATCATCGTGTCCGAATCGTAGACCAGTGATTAAGCAGAACTCCTTCCGCCCAAAACAAGTATACGCTGGTGGAAAATGAAACCATATCTCTTCCTCACCACGTTGTATACTGTCGGGTAGATTTGATGTCATGGTCTGAAGCCACAAATGGGTCAAATTAGCATCTCCACCCGGATGCTGTACTCTCAGCCATGGCCCGAAGCAGGTTTCCTCAAACAATTGTCTTTGAGCAGGTGAAAGCTTCGAAGCAATTGTAGTGGCTAGGCTAACTTTATTCCTTAATGTCAATGAAGCCGAAAAAAATTTCTACAAAAACAATAAACATACCAAGTTAGATATACCAAAAACTACACTGTAAAGATATACCAAAAACAATAAACATAAAAAGTAGTAGTTTATTCTTGAAACTAAAATTTGCAACACTGTTTTGTCTTTTGGTTGAAATGAAAATCGCAACGAGAGAATGACTGTCGCAACGAGAGAAATGAAAATCGCAACGAGAGAATCGCAACGCGAAATGAAAATCGCAACGCGAAATGAAAATCGCAATGCGATTTTGGTTTCGCGTTGCGATTCTCTCGTTGCGATTTTCATTTCGCGTTGCGATTCTCTCGTTGCGATTTTCATTTCTCTCGTTGCGACAGTCATTCTCTCGTTGCGATTTTCATTTATCTCGTTGCGACTCTTCTGCAAATTGAAACTTGAATGGATTGCATTACTTCAACCAAAAGACAGAACAAAGACAAAGACAAATACTAACTTGAAAATCGCAACGAGAGAATAGCAACGCGAAATGAAAATCGCAACGACAGAATCGTAACGCGAAATGAAATCTAAGTGAAATGGTTAATCTATTATTGAAATGACCAGTAAACTTATCATCAGTTTCAATATGAAAAACCTACAATAATGCAAACATTTCAAAATAAAAATAATTAAAAAAACTAACCCTCGGAGGTTGATTTTCCATTTCTGAATATTGTGAGGGATTTCTGACCGTGAATGGTTGTGAGGGATTTCGCTGGAGATGGGGACGGAAATCTTCGGAGATGGGGACGGATTTCTTCGCCGTAGAGAGTGAGAGATGGAGATGGGACTGAGTTGTGATTTTAGGTTTTAGGTTATGAGTTGCGATTACGGGATTTTGTCTTAATATTCGTTTTTGTAATTTGAAAATAAAATACGCGTAGCGATTATAATGGCGCTTTAAATATCGCGTTGCGATTTACGGATACGCGTTGCGATTTTATGTATTATCGTTGCGATTTACGGATACGCGTTGCGATATACGGATACGCATTGCGATTTACCCATACGCGTTGCGATTTACGGATACACGTTGCGATTTACGGATACGCGTTGCGATTTATGTGTTCGCGTTGCGATTTTCATATTCGCGTTGCGATTTTGGAAAATCGCAATGCGAATTTGTACTATCGCATTGCGATTTTCAAGAATCGCGTTGCGATTTTGGAAACTGATTTGCGATTCTGGGGATCGCGTTGCGATTTTTATTTTGCGTTGCGATTTTGTTGGTCATTTTGGCAAATCCAAAAAAAGTTGGTTAAAATCGTATATTATAAGGCATTTTTGGTCACTAAGGCGATTTTCTCTTATAAAAATGGGTCTTCAACCTGAACATTATACCATGAATGCTCTGCTTCTTGGACTGAGCGACGAGGGCAAGATTAAAGAGGCAATGGGGTTGTTTTGGAAAATATTGAAGAACGATTACCCATGTGATCAATACACTTACGGTAATTTATCAGGGGGCTTTGTAACTCTGGGAATATTTGTTTTGCAGTTGTTTTGTTGATAAAGATGATTGCGAATAGAAGCTTTGAACCTGATGTGATGTGCTATAGTAAAATTATTGGTGGATTTTGTAAAGAGAAACGAATGTATAAGGCTTTGATTATCTTTCAAGATATTTTAGATGAGAGAATTGAGCCAGATGTTGTTACTTTTAGTTCCTTAATCAACGGTTTTTGCAGCGTTGGCAAATGGGATGAAGCAAAACGTTTATTAGTTGTCATGGTTAACAAGGGGATTTCTCCTAATGCGTATATTTTAAATGCTCTTATTGCTCCTCTTTGCAACGATGGGAAGATCCAAGAAGCAATATCTCTGTTCAATTTAAAGACCCAAAAAGGCATAGAGCCCGATGCTGTCACTTATAATATGCTAATTCATGCCTCATGCAAGTTCCACAAGTGGAAACTAGCCACAAAATTCTTCGAAAACATGATTGCATATGAAATTTCACCTGATGTTGTGACTTTTACTTCCTTAATAGATGTTTTGTGCAAGGAGGGGAAGTCATCAAAGGCTATGGAAATTCTGGAACCAATGGCTCGTACAGGGGTGAAACCATGTTTCATCACTTATAATTCTTTAATTCATGGGTTTTCTCATTCTGGACGGTGGGAAGAAGCGACAAGCTTGCTCGATAGGATGATGAATGGCAGAGTCCATCCTGGGGTACTAACTTTCAATTCTATAATCAATGCTTTATGCAAGAAAAGGAGGATTGAAGAAGCCATTTCCATGTTCGAACTAATGAGTTAGAGAAATGTAAAACCATTGTCACCTACAATTGTTTGATGCATGGATTGTGCACTTCAAATAAATGGACAGAAGCAACAAGCTTGCTTGATAGTATGATGAATGGAGGAGTCCATCCTGATGTGGTAACCTTCAATTCTTTAATTGATGCTTTATGCAAGGAAAAGAGGATTGAAGATTCCATTGCCATGTTGGAAGTAATGAGACAGAGAAATGTAAAGCCCAACATTGTCACATACAATTGTTTGATAAATGGATTGTGCACTTCAAATAAATGGAAAGAAGCAACAAACTTGCTTGATAGAATGATGAATGAAGGAGTCCATCCTGATGTAGTAACTTTCAGTTCTTTAATCGGTGCTTTATGCAAGAAAAAGAGAACAGAAGAAACCATTTCCATGATGGAACTAATGAGTCAGAGAAATGTAATACCCAACATTGTCACCTACAATTGTTTAATTCATGCATTGTGCAGTTCAAATAAATGGGCAGAAGCAACAAGATTGCTCAATAGAATGATGAATGAAGGAGTCCATCCTGATGCAGTAACTTTCAATTCTTTGATCGATACTTTATGCAAGGAAGGAAGAACAGAAGAAGCCATTTCCTTGTTGGAAGTAATGAGTCAGAGAAATGTAAAACCTAACGCTGTCACCTACGAATGTTTGATATGTGGATTGTGCAAATCAGGCGAATGCGAAGAAGCAACAAGACTGCTCAGTAAGATGGTCGCCGAGCATATTGTTCCTTTTATTAGAACTTTTAACATTTTGTTGGATGCTATTATCAAACAAGGAACAAACGATAAAGCTCGTGAAGTATTGAAGGTAATGGATCAACATAGTGTGCAGCCTAATGGATTTACTTGCAGGACAATGATCAAAATGTATTGCGCAGTTGGTGAAATGAATAAGGCAAAGGATGTCTTTGATACAATGATAACCCAGGGTTTTGAACCTGATTTAGCGGCTTATAAGGTGTTGATTAATGGTTATGCGAAGAGCAAAAGAAATGAAGAGATCATGAGGCTTGCTGAAGAAATGATCCAAAAATGATACAAAGTTGTATGTTGCAGATGGTAAGTACATTAATTAACAACTCATTCTTTTTGTTCTTGGATACCACTGAAATTGAGATGATGCCGGGATAATAGCTGAACTTTGTCATTCTTTCTTGAACCATCATTTGACGTTATGTCGTCAACCGAAAGAAAAGAATGAGGCTTTTTGTGAATTTTGTGGAACTTACTGCCTCTTCTCCATTGTCAGCTAAACTCTTTTGTTCTATTTAGACTTGAGGTGGACCTGGAATCTTGCAGTGTCGCAAAATGTATTGCTCAATCTTTGACAATTTCAATGGTCACCTGTTATTATTAGTAGATAAAAACCGAAAGGTAGCTTGTAAAATACTTCTTTTAGCTTCATTTTTGTAATCCTTATAGGGAAAATTGAATTCTTGAACATCTTTCTTCAAAATCCTTTTTCTATACTAAATCATAATGATTGTTAAGCTCTAACAAATGTATATTCTTGATAATACACTGCACTTGGACTAATTTATCGAGCACATAGAATACGTCATACTTGTCCTGTTACTGTAACTCGGGTCGCCATTAAAGATACAGTGGAAGATTGGATATTATCTCTTCAGGTATTTTCTTCTGCCTCAGGCAACTTTGATTTGGGATGATGAACTATTAGTTCTGTCTGTGTAATAATGTTAGGACAATGACCATAATGGTATTTCTGGAAATTGCTAGGCCAGCCATATATGGTTTAGCCTTTGGAGATGAAGATTTGTTGTCATATATTAATCTTTTCGTCTATGTAGGACAAAAAAAGAAAAATGGTCGCTTTTGCTTTCGGTGAAGATAAAGATAAGATTCATCAACTCGATTAGACACTTAATATATAAGGATGTTCATTCGGTTAAAACGGTGGCCGACCGAACCAAATTACTATTAATCGAATTAATCGAATTTTTTTTCTTTAACTGTTAACCGAACCGAATAAATTTTGGTTAATTCGGTTAATTTTCGAATTAACCAAATTTTTTTAAAATTTTCTAAATTATATAAAAATTGAATAATTTTAATTAAAAAAATAATTTACAATTAATTTAAATAATATATAATTATAAAATAAAAAATTTATATGGATTTTTTAAATTAATTAATATTGATTTAGGTTTAAAAGTTATTGAATCTTAAATTATTAATTGAGTTTTAAATAGTTTGGATTGAGTCTATATGTTATATATAATATATTTAAAATTTAATTTCGGTTAATTAACCGATTTCGAACCGAATTAATCGTTAACCGAATTCTAAAAAAATTATTAACCGTTCCTCGACCGAACTAATTCGATGACCGACCAAATTAACTGAACTAATTCAATTCGATTGTTTAATTCGATTAAAACCAAAAAATGAACACCCCTACTCATACGTCTATTTATGGGAAGTTAGCCATCTCATTCTTTGCTTTTCTTCCGGCCATCTATGTTCTACTTCCCAACAAGAATATATTATACAAGTTGTAATAATATTATAATCCATAGCCTTATTTGATAGAAATAATCAATTAAAATAATATATATATATATATATATATATATATTCTAAAATCTATAATATTATTATAAATCCTTCAATTAAGTTTGAATTTGATATTTTAAGATAACACAAAATAAATGAAAATATAAATAAATAAATTTAAGAAAAGGAAAATTATCCCTTTAGTCACAACCTATCACTTTTCTGTTTTTGATCATTAAGTTATTTATTAATAAATTTGTCATTAATATTATAATTTTTTTATTTGGTTCACCTACCATTAAAATTTTAACAAAGATATTATTATAGATTATTTTAATTTTTAAAGGCTTTTTTTAAAATAATTTTTAGGGTAAAGTTTACAAATAGTCTCTCGACTATAAGATGATGTTTTGTTGAGTTCTTTAACAATTAAAAGTTATAACATGGTCATCCGACTATTCATATATTTCAAATTTTTTTATTAAAAAATGACTTTCTTTTAAGTTGGACATTAACATGTTAATTGTGATATACTAAAATCTGATTACTAAATTAATAGTTGAATGATTATTTTATAAATTTTAATAATCGGTAACTCAACAAAATAATATTCTATAATTAATTACTATTTTATAATTTTATTTGATAAAAAAGGGATACAACCAAAAGTCTCGTAAAAACTCTCCTAATCTAAGTCGAAGAAAAAGAATACCTTTGTAGTATTACAAAAGTTAGAGCGAGAAATTCTCGATCAACAACTATACACAGCAAAGAAGAACGAAATGAAACCAGCAAAATGGAACTAGACATAAACTAGTAGAAACTAATTAATCCCCAGTCAGTTTATGTGCTCGACCGGTAAGTGTTCTAACAATAGCATCAACATGCATCCACTCATGGACTTCTTGTGGAGGTTGGGTGAACGTGGTAATAACTCGTTCAAATCCTTCATCATTTGAATAGCCCTCAAGCTATCCGATTCAACCACTGTATGGCGAATACCCAAATCCCAAGCTATGCACATCCCTTCATAAATGTCCCATAGCTCGGCTTCTAAAACTGAACACACCCATATAAACTTGGTAAAATCCATTCACTGTTGCCAGGTGTTATTGCGAATGACACCTCCATAAAAAGCCTTACGATTCTCCAGATTCACTGCTCTGTTGGTGTTTAATTTAAACCAATCCTCACGAGAGGAATCCATTGATTAGAGCCTGTGATTGAACCGATATCCCTATGGGTAACCATAGTGATGCTATTCAACGCTTTCTGCATAGTAGCAAGGAGATGTTTGCTGCATCCCATAACTGAACCTTCCCTCATTTCTTCATTATTAAAAATCACGGTATTTTGAGTTCGATAAAGATTCTATAAAATAGCTCCGAATAATAGATTCCAATCTTGAAAATTTTCCGCATAATCGACCCCCATTGTGATAGTAGTACCAATCCAGTCGCGGAACTCCATATTTAAAAATTCTATAAGCTTATTATCCTTGATAAGATCAGTCCGAAAGGCAAGAGCAGGAGCACAGAAATGCAAAAAATGGTTAACATCCTCTATGGCCACATAGCATATCAGACATCTAGTCTCTGTTGTGAAGTGCCTACGCACTCTTTCCTCGTTAGTCATAAGTTTCCCTTGACAAGCAAGTCATATAAAGATCTTAATTCGTTGTATGCTATGATAATGGTGAATTCGCTTCCAAATCAGTTTGTTCGAACTGTCCGAAATATCACCACGAATCATATAAGCTGGTTTGACGGTGAATTTTTTTTATCCTCACAACCCGACCAGCCAATACAATCACCCTTAAAGGAAGCCTTAGGGCCTTTGAGTGCAGCCACACGCAATAAAACAGCCCAAGGAAGCAAATGTTGAAAGAGATTCCATTGCCATTACTATCTGGATTGACCATGTCCACCACACATTTTAGGGAGATTTAGCATTTGAGACGGCGAGAGATAAGCAGCAAAAGAACCTACATTCGGCACCCAATCATCCATCCAGAAATCAATGTCTCTCCCATTACCAAATGGACCAACAAATATTATTATTGATGAAGGTTGCCCTTTGATTGTTTCTCGATCTAGGAAGGCAACAAGGATCCTTGCACAAGCAAGATGGCTCAAAAGAATGGTTAAATGGAAGTAGATGTAATGACAAAAAGAGATGGCTACAGAAGGTATAGATGAAGAAGTAAGTTGTGATGGTGATGGAATTTTGAAGTTGGTATTCAAAGAAGACTCAAAAAAGAACAATTATTAAAGAACAAAAACACATACTTTATATGCTTCTTTAAGGGGTGGTATAAGCGGACTTGGACCCACTATCTATAATGGAGATAGGAGCCACAAGTATCAGGGTGGAAATAGATGGGGTGATGCCACAAGCATAAGCTTGATAAGTAGATAAAGTTCACCTAAGAACTAAAGATAAAAACTCTCACAAATATTTCATAAATCAAAGTTTAATGTTCTATCTTTACAAATGAAATGCTAAGACTATTTACAAGCCTTAGGTGCCTAGGATACATTGCACGTTGGTGTGTACATAAAGCCTTTAATGAATGGACATTCATGGATGAATATTCATCCTTCATATAGATTCAATGCACGCCTAGTGTGAACAAAGATAAAGCCTTGAATGAGTGAATGTCCATCCTTAAATGAAATGAATTTTCTTTAGGACGAATACTTCCCCCTGTGGGAACATATTGTTTCATCTTCTTGCATGGATTTGAAGGAATATATCCAAATTGGTTTGGCCCCATTTAGAATGCATGCACCATGTGTGAACGTGACTCATCGACTCCCTTCATGCACTTGGTACATGAATGTACTTGCATTAATACAATTCATCCTCCACACCATTCATGAATAATGACATTCATTTCCCCAAATATGCGAACATGACTCCTCGATTGCCTTGGATGAATGCATATCTTTATTTTAAATGCATGGATTCTTTGTATGGATGAATGGTGCTCATCGCTTGTAACACCCCAGATTCCAGGCTAGTAGTTTCAGGTTTACCTGAGAGGTAAGTGGACCTCGTGAATTTTATTAATTAAGTTGTTGGACTCAATTAGGTTGGTTTTGGGGCCCAATTAGTCACAAAAAGGGGACTTTTAAATAAGGGACAAAAGACCAATGACTAAAAGTGTAATTAGACTATTAAGAAAGAAGATATATTTGGCTTTTAAGAGTGTTTTGGACGTGAGGGGTAGTAACATCCTCAATACCGGGTTAGTGACTAAATTGTAAAATTTTAGAATTTCGGGATAAAAGTAGAAAAGTTGAATAGTTCAATGATTTATGTGGAGATATTTCCTAAAAGGAGATTAAGGGTAAAATGGTCTTTGTTATCTAAAGATAATTATCTTATCTCTTTATTAAAAGATAAGCTTGTGGGGAGAGTAATCTGGAAAACTCTTCTCCCTTCTTCTTCTTCATCCACGTGAGAGCTCAAGCAAAGGTAAGATTTCTTGTTGTTGATTATTAGCTGAAATTTAAG